TCAATTTCGAGTACAATATCAAAATGTAACTTATTAAATCCCATGCAACACATTCTCTGTAACAAGTGTTTAATTATTTATTACGTATTGAAATATTAAGTCCAATTTATCATTAGTTCTCTCACGAAAAGAGAAGAATGCGGGCCGAACAAAAGAGTATAATATTGATTTAATCACAAAGCAGAAGGTAAACACTTTTATCAAACCGAGCTGAGTCTGATTAGATTTGTCAATGGAAAATAAATCATAGCGTAGGTCATATACGATTATCTGCGGTTATTCCTCGTATCTTTGGGTTATTTCCTTTGGGGGTCTTTGAAGAGGTCATTTATAACATCTAGTCAACCCATTTTATATTATTATGTTGAATGGATTCGGTAATATCGATTGGTTATTCGCCTAGTGATGGTAATATTATATTATTTATGAGGGAGTTACAATAACCATTACTCATTCGGATAGTTTGCGTCATGCGCCTGTATATCGAGTACCGTAATACGGAATAAATGATTCGTGAGTTTAATACTATCAGCACATTTTCCACGATTATCACTAAGGCCCGCGAGTTCATCGTATATTCCAGGTGCGTATTTTATTTGGGACAGACACAGCGAAAAATATATTCTTTTGTAGAAGTACGGTTAGTTTAAATAAAATAAAATTTCTGAAGAAAAAACGACTCATTTTTGTCAATTCACAGCCACACAGAAAAAAAAGTTGGCAGAATTGGCCCATCACGTCACAATTTTTTCCTAACCTCAAAAAACTTGTGAAAAATAGTGAAAATTGATGAAAATTTACTGGGAAATTTTGGAAAGAAATTTATTTCCACATCAAATAGTACATTTTTATGTAAAAGACTCTGCTGAATTCAAATCCACTGTCAGAATTGAGCTAGAACGTGTGGTTTTTTTCTAACCTCAAAAAACCGCGCAGGAATCGCTATTTTCAAATTCTGAGAGGATTTTGACCAGGTTTTGTATAAAGGGGTTTTTTGGGTCGCTGATTACGAAGACGAATTCACATTGTAAAAATTCAAGATGGCTGATCCAATATGGCGGGGGGACTTTTTTGAAATCCACCGATTTCAGTAAAATTTGGCATCATAAGGATTGCTGGTTGATCTCACCTTCATTAATCACACATCTGGAGCCAGATTTTCATAAATCAACACACTACATCACACTACACATCATTACATGTGTAGAGTCCTTATGTCATTTTTTTAAGCAAAGTCACATTTTTAGACGGAGTGCAATCTTTTACCTTGATTTATGAAAATCTGGCTCCAAATGTGTGATTAATGAAGGTGAGATCAACCAGCAATCCTTATGATGCCAAATTTTACTGAAATCGGTGGATTTCAAAAAAGTATACCCGCCATATTGGATCAGCCATCTTGAATGTTTACAATGTGAATTTATATTCGTATTCAGCGACCCAAAAAAACTCTTTAAACAGAATCTGGTCAAAATCCGCTCAGAATTTGAAAATAGCGACTCCTGCTCGGTTTTTTGTGGTTAGAAAAAAAAACACACGTTCTAGCTCAATTCTGACAGTGGATTTGAATTCAGCAGAGTCTTTTACATAAATATGTACTATTTGATGTGGAAATAAATTTGTTTCCAAATTTTCCCAGTAAATTTTTATCAATTTTCACTATTTTTCACAAGTTTTTTGAGGTTAGGAAAAAATTGTGACGTGATGGGCCAATTCTGAGCCCAGATTCGTGTTTAGGAGGCCAAATTACTACGAAAAATATATGTCGCATAAAAAGTATACCCAACTTTTTTTTTCTGTGTGACTGTGATTATTTAAAGTACAATTGGAACTGGAGGTACAAACGATAAACCCTAATATTAAATTTGAGATGGCATATACAGGGTGTAAGAAGTTTGACTGCCATTACTTCAACATGAGAGTAATCATAAATGAACAAAAAACTTGTATATTACAGGGGCTTAAGATTGACAGTTTTCAGAATACAGCGAGTACTAATATTGGGGAGTTTCATCACAACGTGACAACAGCGCTTAACCTAAAGCTACACAGCTGATGCATACCACGTGTGCACGCGGCGGACTTGTCCTACGGAAAAGATGTAAAACATTTATTAAATTTCAAGACAATTGTTTTCCAGTTTTTAAATAAATAAAATAAAATGTATCGATTTTGTAGGACGAAAATAGTGTTGTGCTTAAATTATAGCTCGAATTTTAGTAATTATTAATCTCTTAAAACAGGAACTTACGTTTTAATGAAATTATGAATTTGAAAAATATTTAATTAAAGTAATCAAAGATTCACGTCATCCAAATAATCATACGTATTGCATATATACATATGCTCAAAATGTCCAGCACCATTTTCGATGCACGCACGACATCTTCGAATCCAATTTTCGCGCACTCGCATCTCAAGAAAAAAGAAATAGTGGTACCTACGCAAAAAACACTCAGACACGATCCAATTCCAGATACCGACAGAATTGCGTATTGCTGGACAGGTTAGTACCTCGTGTTATCCGCCGCGCCGTCATCACATTGCTTGATATGAAGTTTATCGAATTTTAAATTTATTACAACGCTAATTCACAGGCCGACAATTTTCATAACCAGAAACCAGACACTAGGTACCCGAAGGATTTTGGTGCGCTAATTATGAATCCGAGCTCAGAATTGGTCCATCACCCTAGGTTCTCGAGATATTCTAACCTAAAAGTGCAAAAATCGCGGTATTTCGCTATATTTGGGGTCAGATTACAACGTGATTTTTTTTTTCTAAAATCGCGTTAAACCATCTCAAAGTACCACTCTTACCCTTTTAAGCGCACTTCGATTTTTTTGTAAATCTTTTTTTTTTTTCATAAGAGATATGATTGATGTTTAGTACTTCAGCAATTTCGTACAACATGGAAATTTAGGGTTTGCCCACGTTGGTTATTGCGCGTTTAGATTAACTTGTCGTGGGTTTAACCCTCGCTGGTTATTGCGCATTTAGGTTTACGTGTCGTAGGTTATAGCGCACTATGATGAATTTGTCATGAGCTTAGCATACGAATGTAACAGCGTGTATACATAAGTATCTGCCTCAAATAGAAGTGTTTTCGCAATTTTAGGTTAGAAAATCTCGAAATATTGAGGTTATGGAGCAGGTCCGCCGGTGTTTTCAAATTCAGCGACTCAAGAATCATATAGTACTCAATATCTCGTTTTTGGATAAATTTTGTTTATTTCCATGTAACGAAATCGCTAAAATTCTAAACTTCAATATATCATATCTCTATGGAAAAAAAAATGTTAAAAAAATCGAAGTGCGCTTAGAAGGGTAAGAGTGGTATTTTGAGATGGTTCAATGCGATTTCAGAAACAAAAAATTAATTCACGTTGTAATCTGACCCCGAATATAACGAAAAACCGTCATTTTTGCACTTTTAGGTTAGAATATCTCGAGAACCTAGGGTGATGGTACAATTCTGAGCTCAGATTCGTAATCAGCGCACCAAAATCCTTTGGGTGCATTAGATCCGGTGTCTGGTTCTGGACTTTAGTAAAATTTTGTCGGCCTGTGTTATTTTTCAGAATTAAGCATACAGAAGTTCAAAAAGTGATAAACATTGTATTTTATGGTATTCTATGCAGGCACTTCTGTCAATATTCCTTAATTAATCGAACTTTTGTACATCAAGTTGAAGATTTCGATAATATTTTTCTCGGAAATGGTTGAGTTTAGGACCCATATCAGATAAAGTTTTTTTTTAATGTACTCTATCGTCTGTTAAAATTACCCTACCTGTTTGTGGTAAAAATATCTTCACATCTATGATGATACTAGTAGTACCTGTAATATCAGTTAATCTCAATAAGTCTCAGTTATTTGAATGAAACGGAGTTTCCTTATCTAAAATATAAGATTATCTCAGTTATTTATAAAGTTTTGAGAAGTTTGAAAATCAATTGAGATTTTCAGCGTAAACTTCTCGACAAGAGCACTAAGAAATAATTATTTCATTATCTCAGCTCATTTGCATTTCAAATTAAAGATGTTCCAAGATGTTCTGTGGTCACCTAATATCAGAAAAGAACCTCTAGATTCGTTTATGCGAGAGTAAAAAAATAAAATGAGTTAATATCACTTCAATTAAAGAATTATTTTTTATTAAAATTTTAATGAAAAACTAAGCGTATTGTCTAGAATCATTAAAAATTGAAATCAAATATAAACGTGATTTTTGTTCCTGAGCGTATAGGGCTGGTAGAACTGGGTCCAAGCTTTTAGTATGCTTGAGTGGAGTCATTAGGAGTGCGGAAAGCCGGTCATTCCACACTCCCAACCAATTCGTTCGTCTAGCCCACGATGCCGGAGTAACAGGTGCACCTTTCCACTACGCATCGCATAATTATAAAATTTGTTAAGGGAATTCAAGCGACGGAAATTTTCAGGAGATTGACTGCATAGTTCGGGGACCAAACATTGTCAAGGACCAGTGTGTTTGCCTGGGATAGAGAGTTGAAGGAAGGACGAGAACGAGTGGAAAATCAGGAACACGATCGCTGTTCTCAAACCAGCATTACAGGTGAAAACATTCGGGCGGTTCTTAAAGACGATCGACGGGTGGGAGTATCGGAAATTGTAGAACAGGTCGGAATAAGTTGTGGGAGCTGTAGTGCGATCATCACAAATGACCTACAGTTCCGCAAAGTGTGTGCCAGATCGGTCACTCGCCTGTTGACCACAGATCAGAAGTTGAGACGTTTGGAGGTCTGTCAGAGGCTTACAGCAAGGTTTGCGAAAGAAAGGGAAGCATTTTTGAGTTGGATCTGCGACAAAACGTAGATCCACTGCGACAGTCCCGAGTCGAAACAGGCCACTATAGAGTGGCGGAGAAAAGGGGGGGTACACCCAGTGAAATCCAGGACTTGACTGTCAGCTGGCAAGGTCCTTTCAACCGTTTTTTTCGACTGAGGAGGCAATTTGTTCACTGATTTTTTGCATGAGCGATGCACAATCAATGCTGCTACTGCGAACTGTTGAACGCAGTGAAGGCTGCATATCGCCGCAAAAGACCGATTCGAGAGGCCATCCTTCACCACGACAACGCCAGGCTCCATGCTACAGCTCTAACGGTATCAAAACTAGAAGAAATGCACTGGACTCAACTTGATCATCCTCCCTACAGCCCGTACTTATCGCCTGCGATTTTCATTTGCTTGGGCCGCTTAAACAAGCTCTTAGAGCGCAACGATGACGTAGAAGGATTCGTGCACAGTTCATTCTACGATGTTGCGATAAATAAACCTTTCTTCTCGCTGGGAAAATGTATTTCTAAAGCAGAAAACTATGTAGAAAAATAAATTATATTTGCCTTTTATTTTTCAATATTTTTTTTTTTAATAAAGTTCCGTTTATATTTCTTTTACCCCAGTAGAAGCATGCGAGTATATTCAGTTTAATAATTATATTTTAGCTCGCAGTATTTGATCGATATATCTCAGTAATCGGTATTAAAATAAAAAACAATTTGAAGAAGTTATTTTCAAATACATTTTCCTCGTATAAATGAATTTACTCTAGAAAAAATTAGAGCTGTTTACCGACATATTTATTGCTTGATATTATGTTGATCTATCAAGTTTGTTTGATGCTAAAATATGACGAAAACGTACCGCAAGACATTACAGGGTAGTAAAGAACTTTTCGGCAAAATCCAAAAACAGGTCAAATTTGTTTCTGAGGGGGACAACTTTTGGCTCAAAAAGCATAACAAAATCTTCAACCCCCTAAGTGGGGGTGCTATCCTCTAAATTTTTTCAAATGGGAATGAGGGTCAAGTGGGGGGTCATTAGAAAGGGCTTTTAATTCTCTATACATCGATTCTTACTTTTTGAAAATCGATCCATTATTTTAGAAAATATGCAGCTTTGAAAATACGAACAATATTTTTGACGAGAAATGCGAAAATCGATTTAATTTTACTTCAAAACTTACGGTATTAGCTTGGTAAATTCCTTCAAAAGAATTCGCTGTTTTTTTTTCTGATTTGCGAATTCTTTAGCCTGATTTTGGTGAGCAAAAAATTGTCCGCTTTTTGTTTCGTATTTAGATAGGCCACAAGAAGTTGCTAGATAACTGTCTTGTGACTTGTAGTTGAAGAGTACCAATACTGCCGAGTCTTTTAAATTGATTAATTATGGTGTACTCAATTCCAGAAAGAGTAGAAATTATTGAGCTTTTTTTCAAAAACAATGAATGCGGAAATCGGGTCGCCGAACTGTTCAACCAACGGCATCCTGAGAAACATGCGTCTGGAAAAATTGTTCGCGAATTGGTGGCCAAATTTCGCGAAACTGGCTCCGTTCATAACAAAAAGAGGCAGGTTGAAAATCCGGTACTAAATGAACCTACGGAAATAGCGGTATTGGGGCAAGTGGCAATGGATAGTACGCTGAGTACAATGCAATTGGCTACTGCGACAGGAGTGAGTCGTACAAGTGTCCAACGAATATTAAAAAAATACAAATTCCATCCTTATAAGATTCGGCTAGTGCAAGAGCTAAATGAAGACGATTTTGATCGTCGTTTGCAATTTTGCGAAATAATGACTGAACGAGCGATAAACGATAATTTCCTCTTTAATGTGTGTTTTTCGGACGAGTGTACGTTCTTCTTGAATGGTTTAGTGAATCGCCATAATTGTCGTTACTGGGCTGATACCAATCCAAGGATTTTCCATGAGACACACTCCCAACACCCCCAGAAGTTGAATGTATGGGCAGGTATTTTTGGAAATTCCATTGTAGGTCCTTTTTTCCTTCCTGGAAATTTGACAGGCGATATGTACTTGGATTTACTACAAAATGTCATCGACCCAGCTCTAACAAATATCATAGAGGACGACCCTGCTTACAATGAACACGAACTGATTTTCCAGCAAGACGGAGCTCCTCCACATTACTCGCTCAATGTGCGCAATTACCTAAATGAGACGTTTCCAGGACGCTGGATAGGACGAAGAGGTGCAATTGAGTGGCCCCCTCGGTCACCCGACTTAAATCCTTTAGATTTCTTTCTCTGGGGGCACATTAAAAGCAAAGTTTACAGCACTCCACCTGATACCTTGGAAGATCTGCGAGGACGAATCATTAATGTATGTCGCGAAGTAACACCGCAAGTGCTCCAGAATGTTCGACAACGGTTTGAAGACAACCTGTATCATTGTATGCAAGTTGGCGGACAACATTTTCAGCATTTACTTGACTAATACCGTAAGTTTTGAAGTAAAATTAAATCGATTTTCGCATTTCTCGTCAAAAATATTGTTCGTATTTTCAAAGCTGCATATTTTCTAAAATTATGAATCGATTTTCAAAAAGTAAGAATCGATGTATAGAGAATTAAAAGCCCTTTCTAATGACCCCCCACTTGACCCGCATTCCCATTTGAAAAAATTTAGGGGATAGCACCCCACTTAGGGGGTTGAAGATTTTGGTATGCTTTTTGAGCCAAAAGTTGTCCCCCTCAGAAACAAATTTGACCTGTTTTTGGATTTTGCCGAAAAATGCCTTACTACCCTGTAATGCCTTGCGGTACGTTTTCGATGGGCTACCCTGTATTTTATTTAACATGAAAATTTAAACTTATGCGACTTATGAAAATTTGATATTCTTGACAAACTAAAAGCACAGAATTGTTAATCATAAGTAAAGTTACATACAATATTGAGTACATTTTCACTCAATATTGGTCATTTTGATTATTTTACTAATTTGTATATTTATATTTAAACTAAATTAAATAAATTCTTCATGTAAACTCGTATTTGGTGCACTTGTACCTAAATTAGAGTAAATGTCCTCATTACTGAGTGAGTTTAAATGTATATTAATTTCGAGTAATTTGAATGGCGTCGTTGAGATGGCACCATTTACATATTGTTTCTGTAATGTCAACCACAGTTGATAGGGACCCGTTAGATGCTCCACAAAAGCGTGATCGCCAGGAGTACCTACAGGTCTTAGCCGGCTGGTCTCAGGGTCTCATCTAAGACAAGAGGAAGCCCCGCGAAGTGAATTAATTTCAACACTATATATCCTAATTAATCATTTATGAGTGATTTAGTTTAGCACTTAATATTTAGTTAATTAAAAACCAAGTATGAATAAAAATGACTCAATAATAGTTAATTTAAATCATATTAGAGAGAAAGTCAACACTAGATTGGTTCGCACAATTGATAGTTAGCAGTAATTCGGATTTGAGTAAAATTCACTCATTTATGTTGCAATAGTTTCACTCAGTTGTACTCATACTAATAGAGTGAAAATTTCACTCGATCGGGAGTAGACAAAAATTGATACATTATAGAGTAAAACTGAGTGAAATTTGAGTGTAATTTTTTTACAGTGTACATACATCCAAGTCAGATTGTGGTATTTTGATTGGTCACCAGTTAAACTACCACACAATTGGTATAGTGTTGAATTTGTCCAAATAATGTTTCCGAAATGTTTAGTCTATGACAAAGATCACCTGATTGGTACACATTTTGTAGATTGTAATCTGACCTACACTCATACATGTTGGTAGACAAACATCCAAATTTAAGTTGTTTACTTTTAATCCAGTTATATTATTTTCTTGACTTTCATCAATATTATTTGTTGTTTTTGTAGCTTTTATATTATTTATTATAGTTATATTACTGCATTGACTGTATTGTCTATTAATATTTCCTGTAATTGGGTGTAACCTATTGAAATAATTGCTAAAAAAAATAACTGGCAAGAAAAGGATAACGAAGTATCATTTAACAATTAATGCTTTATATTCAAGGAAAAATTCTATATTTACCTGGTATATTCCTAGCTTCAATAAGGTGTGTCGACACATTTATTGGAATACATGTAAATCAAAGTATGTGTAAATTTACGATCACTGAAAATAGAGGAATCGAATGGAAATGAAATGAAAATCACTTTTGTGAAAGTGTCGCTTCACAGCTTTCATGAAGGAATATAAAACCGACGACAAGAAGAAATCGTTGAGAAGTAAACTATTCGAACTGAATAAACCAATAGCAAACTCGAAATAAGGGAGCATTAAAAATGTATACCTATAAAATATGTATAGAAAAACTGGAACTATGAAAGAACATAGGCAGTCAATTTTGGTCTATGTAAATGTGAATAATAAAGGACATTCATTAAAAATTTACTTTATTTAATGAAAAACAACTTTATTTATGTTCCAAAATATTAAAATAACAAGGTGAAGATATTTTAAAAATTGAGATACCTTTTACTGATTACCATTAACATTATTAATATTCAGGGTACACATGTAATATTGTAAATATTTATTTATAAACTACCTAGTCAAAATTTGCAAGAAATGCAAATGTCTTTTATATTACAACTTACATCAAACTTACCTGCAAATTGTACTAAAATATTGTCATAAATAAGGTCTCAGGAGATTCAGTCAGACCCTTATCTTCTGGAGAGAGTCCCGAGATAAAACCGCTCATGCAGAATACAAGGCGCAATATGATTTTAGCGAAACTAATGCCAATTAATGGAATATTGTCTGTCAATTTTGAAGAAACAGGTCTATTTAAGTAGGTTTTGTGGACAAGCTAAAAGAACCATTTAGACTGTAATGTTTGCTTAAGCTGACATATAACATATCAAATTATGTTAAAGAAAAATAATCAAATGACCAGTAAATGCAATTGCAACAGTTAGGATGCAGTTATTTGTGGAAAACAAAATAACTTCAAACTGGATAAAAAATTAATCGTGTACGTTAGGGTTGCCCAAAAAAAAAAAACGATTATTTTTTTTTTCGTGTCTCTTGTGAAAATATGTTAGTTTATCATTTTTTAAAAAAATCTCGATTCTGAAAATTTCAAATCGATATTTTAATTTCTAAAGGTCACTCATAATTATTTTAATTTTAGTAGTGTATCTACCTGTTTTCGAGCGACCTCTAAAAAAATTTTTTTTATTGAATTTGATGAACAAAAAAATAGAAATAAATCACGAGATACTTAAATTTAAAAAACTTTAAAAATTATAAATACTCATTTGATAATCACAGTGCGGTAGTAAATTTTGCCTCGAGAAATTTTTTAAGTGTCTCGTGATTTATTTCTATTCTTTTGTTCATCAAATATAATAAAAAAAATTATTAGTTCGTTGATATTTATTTTTACAGGTCGCTCGAAAACATTTTAGGTAGGTACACTACATTTCAAGTTAAAATAATTATGAGTGTCCTTTAGAAATTAAAATATCAATTTGAAATTTTCAGAATCGAGATTTCTTTCAACCTAAAAAATGATAAAATAACGAGA